AAAAAAAAAAAAGAAAGAAAAGAAAAAACAAGAGTCCCTATTTCCTTGTCAACAAACGCTTTTGCAAGGCACTGAGAATCAGGCAGCTCACTGGGGTTGCTAGCACCCTTCTTCCCAGCAGCTGCTCCCTGTTGAGCAGAGCACCCTGCAATGTGCCAGGGTAGGATGGGGCTGGGGAGGTACTAGTATCAGACAACACTCACTGAACACTTGGTATGTTCCACTCTGTTCTAAGTACTCTCCTGGGTTATTTCATTTAGTCCTCACCACAATCCTAACAGGTAGAGGCCACTGTTTCCATTTCCCAGATGAGGAAACTGAGGCATCTGAAGGTTAAGTATCGAGCCAAGTAACTTGGCCCCATTACTTACAGACAGATAAGGCTAGATCTGAGCTGTATTGCCTGGTCCCAGAGTCTCTTGTGGGTTCTGTTCCTTTCTAATATTTTCCAGTAACTGGTGAAGCTTAGACAGGGAGCCGGGGCCTGCTGAAGCTCTGATTGAGGCTGAGTCTATGTCTATGTGCCTGGACTTTGGAGTCAGATTTGGGTTCAAATCTCTCTCCATCCTTCCTTTCTAAACCTGGGCTCCTTACAGCCTCCTTACCCTCTAAATTTCTGCTTCCTCATCTGTTAAACTGGTATTCTAGTGCCCGTTTCAAAGGTATCCTTGAGTTGAAAGGAGATAATGTACATAAACCATGCACAGTGCTAAGAACTTGATAAAAGGAAACCGTTACTTCCTGGTGGAGCAAAGATGAGAGGGGCTTTGCTGTAACATAGAGTGGGCGCTGCATGGGCAGGCAGGGACACTGGCAACCTCCAGAAGTGGAAGGAACCCCAGCAGCAGTAGCTTTTAGAGAGGAGCTGAATAGGTCACCGAGGGGAAGCAGCAGCTCTTAGACACAGGAGGCTTCCCCAGGAGTGGGGGTTGGGTCTGCCCTTCTGTTAGATTCCTGCCTATCCCCTGGGAACACTGTGGGGGAGGGGCAGCCCTTCCGCAGGCCTCTAGGCGGTCCTCCCTCTGAACTGTCTTCCCAGGCGGCAGCACCTTCTCCCCAGCCCCGCCCCCCCTTCAGTTACTAATTACTCTGGGGAAACTGACTGTAATGAATGCCAGCACCCTGCAGGGGTTCCAGGAATCTCACAGT